GTACTCTTGTAGCTTTGGAGCCTGTCCTGGAACTAGCTCTTGTAGACCAGGTTGGTCTCAAACTCACAGAGATCCACCTGCCTCTTTCATCTTGTAGACCAGGCTGGTCTCAAACTCACAGAGATCCACCTGCCTCTTTCGCAGGATGGTGGCTGTCGTGGGCATCACTATATCACTGTCTGTTGCCTTAGAACCATTGCTTCTCAATTCCCTACCTATGGCACTGTAGAACATGAATGGCCACTCCCTCTCCTTCCCCGGCCCATGGTGTGTAGATCGTGATTTCCAGTGTCATTCCGAGCAGCCACATTTACCTTACAGATTTGTGTTACTTTTTCCTTCCTTTGCCACAGTTTCCTGTCAGCATCCTTTTGTGCTTCTCTTTTGTTCTTTTTGGTCTCAGTCGTCTTGGATTGTTATCACTATGCCTGACCTTCACTGGATTGTGAACCTCACCAGGTCAGAAGCCAGGTGTACCACCATGCTCACAGTCATGAATCACAGGCACTCGTATGTTAGCAGTTGATTTAGGGAACAGAGGTAGGACAGAAAACTGGATAGAGAGAACACCACGTGACACTGGGAAGGAGAGACTGGCTGAAGCGGGGGTTGGGGGTGGGGTGGGGGTGCTTTGAGTCTTTTGTTTTTCTCTTTCTTCTCTCAGGGTCTGGTTCATGCTGGATAAGAATCTAAACCACTGAGGTATGTTCCAGCCCTCAAACTGGTGTTTCTCAACTATATCATTTTAAAGTTAAAAGCTAAATTCTCCCTGGTAAGAAAAATTAAATGTGAAAAAGATTTTTCATCTGAACTTTGAAGAACCTTGAAGGATTTGGTTTCTGCCACTCTCTGCCCTTCTCAGCCTTTGGGAAGCAGTTATTTTCCCTGCTATGGCCCCAGGGGAGAAGAAGTGAGCGTAGAGGAGCATGTCCTTTTCCTCCCTAAAATGAGGTCCGTGATTTGGGGCTGGCTGTCAGAGATGGGACTGCTGGCAAGGAGCTGTGTGGCTATGCCAAGGAGGAGGACAACAGTAAAGCCCAGGGAAGGCTGGGTAGATGGGCAGATCTGGTTCCCCCACACTGGAGGTGAGCAGGATGTGTACCAACCTGGCATGGCTTTAACTCTCATGTGTGGCTAGCAGCTCTGTTTTCTGATGAGTGCTCCAGGGCTGACTGGCCAGGCTGCTGCTCCACAGACTCCTGAGAAACAAGCAATCAACTCCTGCATGGGTGTGACTTAGCCTTTATTAAAGGATAGCTCTTCAAACATTGGTAAGATGATGGCTGTCATACAGATGTAAAATGATATTCAAGTTTTTAATGAACCAACCAGGAAGATATTTCCTCCAACAGGAAATCCAGAGACCAGGCACATCTGTGAATCAGAATGTGGAGAAAAACTTGAGAATAATGCAGGCAAGGAGGGCCCTGAGTGGAGCTGGCTGATGTATTGCCAGTGGTTCTAAATGCTAGCTTGTGGAGCACATGAGAGGCATTGGAAGTCAGGCAATGTGAGCCAAAAGATGCAGAGTGGTCCATAGTGAATGGATGTGTAGATCTACCCTTCGATTTGTAATGCTTGGGCATTTCTCAGTCACTCTGTATGTTAACAGGTGATGATTGCTACAAACTCCGTTTGTTTCTTTAATCACAATCTATTTCACTGCCCTAGTTCACTCTTCCAGGTGATAGGAAAAGCAAACGGGAATTCCCCAACCGGACTTCGTCTGTGGCGAGCAGGTCCTGGCCATGTCCCAGTCACGCAGGTGAAGAAGGAAGTCATTTTACAAACAGAACATTTGTCATGGTTCAGGGACATAGCCTTCTGTGAGGGCCTGGTCCAAGCTCTTTTGATTGTATATTGGTGTAAAGATATGTTGTAAAAGGATATGTCATAACTGACTGTCCCAAAGTGGAAGTAGACCAACTGTCCACTCACAAATCATAGACAAAGTGTGATATATACAGTGGAGTATCATACAGCATTGAAAAGGAAGACAGTTCTGATACATGCTGTAAAACCTTTATTTATTTATTTATTTATTTATTTATTTATTTATTTATTTATGGATGGTTGTGAGCCACCATGTGGTTGCTGGGAATTGAACTCAGGACCTCTGGAAGAACAGTCAGTGCTCTTAACCTCTGAGCCATCTCTCCAGCTATTTTTTTTTTAATACATACACACACACATGTGTTTTGAGACAGGATCTTGCTATATAACCTTGGCTGCCTAGAACTCACTCTGTAGACCAGACTGACCTCAAAGTCAGAGATCTGCTTGCGTTTCCCTGTCAAGTGCTAGGATGCATGAACCTTTAAAGATGCAAAGTGAAGTAAGTCAATCATGAAAGTGCAAACATTCACACACTGACCCAAAATTGGCTGTAACTCCAGTTCCAGGGGATCTGATACCCTCTTCTGGCCTCCATGGGCACCAGGCATGTGTGTTGTGCATAGACCTTCATGCAGACAAATCACCCATGCATATAAAAATAAAATGTAACTAAGGTGTTTTTTCAGGTGCATTGTTTGAGCTTGTGGATGAGAAAGAGGCTGATGGGGTTAAGCTCAAGGTCAGATGCTGGCTGCAGACATAATCTGCTTTCACATTTTAGTCAAGAAGTCTTTAGGAAAAGAAAGCATTATCCCCATAGGCAATTTGATTTTATCTGTTGTGTTAAAGTTTCTAAATTTTGGCCAGATACCCCAAAGGGCTTCTTTTCCCTTTCTGTGCCCCCTTGTTTTTCCCCATCTTTCTGTCTAGTCTCACTTACTCATAAAAATGTAGATAGTAGATCTTGGCACCCAGGAAATATCAGTGAGCTCATATAAAAGCAGGAGAGTTTGATTTGGTTATAGAGGAGAACTACAAACCAGGAAATGCAGGCTCTGGTGGAGTGAACCTGCATTTCATTGGGGCTGGTGAGACACCTGACAACAGGCAGTTATTTGCCTATTAAGGGGAAATGAGCACGATGGAGGCAAGTGTGGAGTTAGAAATGGATGTGAATCAAAAGTGAGCACTAAGCCCATCAGCGAGTCCAGGCCAAGAGGAAAAACTGGCTTGTCCGGTGATTGTCAAATCTTGCAGGGTGTTGCTAGATTCCGGAAAATGTCCCTCTGGTGACACTTCTTACATGGTATCTGTGTAGTGAACTTCCTCTTGTCGTTGAATGTCTCAGACACAGAAAAGGATTCTTGGTCCCATTGTTGGACATTCTGTAGCCAGTTTAATTAAGTGTGTGTGTCCGGACGTGTGTGTGTGTGTCCCCGTGTGTGTGTCCCCGTGTGTGTGTCCGTGTGTGTGTGTCCGTGTGTGTGTGTCTGTGTGTGTGTGTCGGTGTGTGTGTGTGTGTGCGCGCACGCGCGCGTGTATGCATGAAGGGAGGTCAAAGGAGGCCATCCAGTATCCTGTCTCATGTTTGACCTTATTTCCTTTATCTAGGGCCTCTCAGTGAACCTGGAGCTTATGTTGGCAATCAGAAAGTCCCAGCCATCCTTCTGTCTCCTCCCTATCCACAGCAAGCACCACACACACACACACACACACACACACACACACACACACACACATCTACCATGCCTGGCTTCTCACAGAGGTGTTGCAGATATGGACTCGGGCTCTTAAGAGAGTGCAACAAGTGCCCTTACCCATTGCTCCCATTTTGACTGTCATTAACATTAGCATAGACTAAAACTAGTTGGGGGATGATAAAGTTGTAGAGAGAGGTGGTGGCCATGCTTGCTCTTGATGGCAGCACAGTTAATCTTAAGTATCTCCATGGAAAAATTTAAAGAAATCTTTGTGCACGCATGTATAGTATGTGTGTGTGAGTGTGGGCAGCAGATGCCACAGTGTGTGTGGCCATCAGAGGACTACCCTGGTGCTAGTCTTTACACCCCCTTGTTGGAGGCAGGCTCTCATTTGCCACTGAAATGCCGGGTGAGCCTGTTCTTGAGCTTCCAGGGATGCTCCTCCAGTCTCCTTCCACCCTGTCCCACAAGTGTTGGCTGTTGAGTTGTTCTGGGAATTTGAACTCTGGTCCTCAGCATTTGAACTGTAAGCACTTTCTTTACTGAGCCGTTTTCTCCTCATCCCTCACGGTAAACATTTTAATGTCAGTTGAGCCCTTAGACTCCCAAAGCACTGACCAGTCCTTAAAACATTTTTTTGTTTTGTTTTGTTTTTGTTTTTCGAGACAGGGTTTCTCTGTGTAGCTTTGGAACCTATCCTGGCACTCGCTCTGGAGACCAGGCTGGCCTCGAACTCACAGAAATTCGGCTGCCTCTACCTCCCGAGTGCTGGGATTAAAGGCATGTGCCACTAATGCCCGGCTTTTTTGTTATTTTGTCTCTCTGCCTCCCGAGTGCTGGGATTAAAGGCATGTGCCACTAATGCCCAGCTTTTTTGTTATTTTGTCTTTTTTTTTTTTCCCCAGGGCTGAGGACCGAACCCAGGGCCTTGCGCTTGCTAGGTAAGTGCTCTACCACTGAGCTAAATCCCCAACCCCCCTTAAAACATTCTTGCACAGAAAGCATACCTAGCTGGAGGGAAACTGAGGCTTGGAAGCCCCTCAGGTGATTAGGACATGGGTCTTCACAGTGTCTAGTCCTTTCCGTATCTTAATATTCCTCCCGGCACGGTCAGAAGAAATGCCAGGAAAGTAAAAGTACAGGGTTTCAATGGAGACAGCTGAAAATGCCTGGAATAGTGATTCTGCTTAAGAGAGAGGTGAAGTGGTGAGACAGGGAAGGAGTTTCCAGGCTTTGGGTGAAACCGACAGCCTGAGAATTAAAATTGAAATCCCAGTCTGTGGAAGAAGTCTACAAGCTGCTACAGGACATTGTCACAAGAGCTGGCTTTCCTCAACCCAGGAAGCATTTAAAGTACACACAAGCTCCAGGAGGTGAGAGGTTCCTTTAACTCGCTCCCCTTTGACCCAGCTGGGATGGGGAGAAGGGCTGAGGGGGAAGGGAAGGAATCACATGTGGTTGAGTCAAAGGGAGCACTGGAGACTAGCTGGCCCTGGAGGGGGAGCACTGGAGACTAGCTGGCCCTGGAGGGGCCGCTCTGCTACTACTGTAAACATTACTCTCAGAAAGTCGATGCTGCATCAGAGGTGAGTCACAGGTGTGAGCTGTGCCAAACCACGATGGCTTCTGGATAGCCATTTTCACTGGCCTTGATAATTTTCTCTTTCATACTTGTTTCTGAAATAATGAACAATTTAAAGAAAATATTTTAAGTGTTTTTGCCATGTGTATATCTGTGCACCATGTGTGAGCCTGGTACCTGCAGAGGCTGGAAGAGATCATCACATCCCTGGAACTGGAGTTATAGTTGGTTATAATCCATGTGTGTGGGTACTGGAAACCAAACTCCAGGCCCCTGCAAAAGCAGTCAGTGCTCTTAATCTCTGAACCATCTCTCCAGCCCCTGAGCTACCTTTTTAACCAACCCCAAAGCTAGGTGATTTTACTTCTGAAAAATTATTAGTTCTTTTGAGAGTGCTCATTCCAGAATCCATATTTGTGATAGTAATAATCAGCAATTCTGGAATTTGAATGATTGACTAAACCTATTATTCTTCTTAAAACTTTTTTATTAAGACAGGGTTTCATGTAGCTCAGGCTGGCCTTGAACTCACTTATGTAGCCATCATGACCTTTAACTTCTGCCTCTAGTCCCAAGTGCTGAGATTTCAGGTGTGTGTGCAACAACATACTTATTACTGTATTACCACAATATTATGATAAGAGTACAATTTCCTAATGCTATGATCAATACTGGTACAAAGTGTTGGGATCTGTGTAATAAAGGGGAAGATTTGGCTCAGCAAAGAATCCCTACCTCTTGCCCGACTCTGATTGTGCCTTTGGTTAGCAGTTTTAACTCGTGTTAGTTTTGTCCCTTTGTTGAGGGACACTGTTAAATAAAATACATAGTCTCAAGCTCTAGTGAAGAGGGTGATGGAGTGTGCAGGGGAAACCATTTTCAGCTTTGCGTTTTTTCTGAACTTTTGATAGAGAGCAAACCTGGTGGTTACTGGCCTTTGAGTCCAGAACTGTGACAACATGTTAGTTCCACCTGACAAGTTTGATGTGATGTTGGACTAAATGTTCCCTTCCAGCCATTTTTTACAAGGTGTCCAGGTAAATTTATGCAGCTTGGCACACTTTGCTGACTTTATTAGGTAGGGAGGTTTTTTTTTTTCTGGAATTGCTTTTCTTGTTTCAAAATCCCAATCCAGCTGTAGTAACACATACCTAGAATCCCAGTATTCAGGAGATAGAGGCAGTAGGTGTATGAGTTCAAGGCCAGCCTGGGTGACATTGCAGGTCTCCTTCTCAAAAACCCGAAACAAAATGAAACCTTGTAATGCCATCTCCAGGAGTCATCTAGCAGTGTGCAAGCAGCCTGGAGTGATTGCTTTTGGCAGAAGGCCACGTAAACATCCCTGCCTCTCTTTGATATATAGGTAGAGTTGACACGTTGTTAAAAACAATGACCATAAATAGGGAATGTGTCAGGCCTGGGCTCAGTCATTGACTACACTTGAAATGGAAAGGGCCCTGAGATCTATTCCCTGGGCAGGTACATTATATGCAGACATGGTTGCCAAGAGGCCAGAACTCCAATCTGTTAGTTCTCTCAACCATGTGGAAGTAGGGGAGGGTTGTGCTTAGAGGGACAGACTTCTCCCTCCCTCCCTCTCTCTTCCCTCCTTGTCTCACTCCCTTCCTTCCTTCCTATGAGTTTATTCTATTTAAAAGTCAACTTCTAGTGCATTAAAAATTGTGTATTTATACAAAAATGCCTCTGGGGAATGCTGACATACAAAAACAGCTATTCTTTGTGGTACTTTAGGATTTTTGAGTAGTATATACTAATTTGGTTGGCCTTTTATTTATTTCATTCACTAGTCAAAAATTTCCATCAGATTTCCTTGCTGTCTCTCCCTTGATCTTGGCCTTTCTTGGTCTTTTGCAGGATTTTAGAGTTAATTTATCAGTTTTTACCAATTGAGGGATTTCCCTTAGGATTGTGAAGATCCTTGTGATAGTTTGAATGTAATTGGCCCCCATAATCTCAGAGAGAATGGCACTATTAGAAGGTGTTGCTTTTTTTGGAGGAAGTGTGCCATTATGGGGGTGGACTTTGAGGTTTCCTATGCTGAGGATAATGCCTGCTGTGTTAGTTGACTTCCTGTTCCCTGCAACCCAAGATGTAGGCAGCACCATGTCTGTTTACACAGGATCATGCTTCCCATCATGGTGATAATGGATTGAACTTCTGAAACTATAAGGGAACCACCCCAATTAATTTTGTTTTTTTGTAAGAATTACAATGGCCGGGTGGTGGTGGCACAGCCAGGAGGTGGGGGCACACATCTTTAATTCCAGCACTAGGGAGGCAGGGATGGGCAGATCTCTGAGTTCAAGGCCAGCCTGGTCTACTGAGTGAGTTCCAGGATAGCTTCCAAAGCTGCAGAGAAACCTTGTCACAAGCACACAAAAAGAGTTGCAGTGGTTCTAGTGTCTCTTCACAGCAATAAAATCCCTAACTAAGACGGAAGATACTAGGGACTGGAATATCGGTGTGATAGGCTTGACCATGTTTTTGTTTGGAGGACTTTGAACTTCAGTACCTTGGGTTAAGAAAGCAGTGGAATGTTTTAAGGGCTGCTTAATGTGGGTCATAGTAATAGGAGCATGGAAGACAATAGTGCTGAAGGTGATTTGATGAGCTGTGGTGATGAAGAGGTTTCCGATGAGAAGAGTATTAGAGGCTGCCAGAGGCTTCTCTTGGGGTATTTTGGTGAAGAAAGTGGCTGCTTTTTGTCCTTGTCCAAAAAGTCTGCCTGAGGCTGAAGTGAAGAGTTTTGGATTAATTCCGTTGGCAGAAGAAATCTCAAAACAGCTTAGTATAGACTCTGTCTTGTGGATATTAGTGGTAACTCTAGTGAAGATTTATAATGAAAAGGAGCAAGCTGAGCAGGGTAAATTATAAAATATAAATTTTGAGGAGAGAAAGAAAGTAGAATGGAGCTAAATTCTGTCTTCAAGGAGATAAATGGATTAAGAAATGGAATAAAGGGAGTGGTGACCTCAGGACAATATCCTACCCAGCTAAGTTCTCAAATTTGTGGGAAGAAACTTAAGAAAAGCTTACAGCTTTTACAGTGGGGCACACCTTTAATCCCAGTACTGGGAAGGCAGAGGCTGGCAGATCTCTGAGTTAGAGGCCAGCCTGGTCTAGAGATCCAGTTTCAGGACAGCCAAGCTTAGGCAGTGAAGGACAGAAAGCTGGTGAAGATGTAATTGAATGAGGGGGCCATGGTCCAGCCCCAAACAAGCATTAGAACTTGGCAGCTTTGGTCACACATGGTTCTGGCTTTAGAGTTAAAGATAGAAGAAACAGGTTATAGAATTTGCCTCCATGCCTAAGGAAAGCCACTGAGGCAAGGTGTGTGTCAGGGGTGACCCTAGTAGAGAGGCCATTGTGTGAATCTGTGATGTTGAAGCCAGGATTGCCTTGGAGACCCCAAGATGTTAGAGATGCCTGCTGCTAACAGGGAGTGGAATCGGCACAAGAGAAAGAAGTTTATTGTAGTCAACAAAGCTGAAAGGGGTTGGAGATCTGAAGAGCTTTTTGACATCAGACATGGAGATGGAGTTTGGAGTTTGCCCAGCTGGTTTTCAGTCTTGTTTTGCTCCAGTATTTCCTTGCTATGTTCCCTTCCCTGCATTTTAGAATGGTAATTGGTATTCTGTGCCATTATATGTTGGAAGTATGTGATCTGCTTTTTTATTTTGATTTTTATACGTGATTATAGTTAAGAGATTGCATGAATCTCTCTTCAGAAGAGGCTTGGAATTTTGGACTTTAAAACCTTGTTGAGACTGTGATAGACTATGGAGACTTTTGAAATTGGACTAAATGCATTTTGCATTATGATATTGTTATAAGTTTATGGGGGCCAGGAATAGAATGTGGTAGTTTGAATGTTATTGGCCCCTATAATTTCATAGGGAGTGGCACTATTAGGAGGTGTGGCTTTTTTGGAGTGGGTATGGCCTTGTTGGAGGAAGCATGGGGTTGGGCTTTGAGGTTTCATACTGCCCAGTGTTTCAGTTGACTTCCTGTGGCCGGCATGCCAAGATGTAGCCAACACCGTGCCCACCTGCATGCCATCATGCTTCCCATCATGAGGATAATGAATAGAACCTCTGAAACTGTAAGTGAGCCTCCCCAATTAAATGTCTTCCTTGTAAGAGTTGCTATGGTCATGGTGTCTCTTCACAACAAGAGTAACCCTAACCAAGACAGTCATTAAAGGTCAATTTAAAATTAACATCAGTTCATTGTCCCATTTATGTCTTCCTTGTTGTTTCTCAAAGGGATAGATTTTTCTCTATTAAAGTGTCCCATGCTTTGTTTAGTGTTGGGATTCTGTGTCCCAGTTCAAGCTATGAAACAATAAAATTTGGTGGCGCACGCCTTTAATCCCAGCACTCGGGAGGCAGAGGCAGGTGGATCTCTGTGAGTTCGAGGCCAGCCTGGTCTCCAGAGCTAATGACAGGATAGGCTCCAAAGCTACACAGAGAAACCCTGTCTCGAAAAAACAAAACAAAAAAAGGAAACAATAAAATAATTTTAGGGTTTTGGGAATGGCCACAGGTGTTCCAATGGAGGTAGGAACAAAGGAAGTTGACAGAGGCAAGCAGAGTGATTTACAGTAAAACAGGAAAAAGTTCTTTGTAGGCAACTTCATTTAATGTTTTAAAAGAAACAGGGCTATATGATAGTGAAACATGACTAATAGGGGCCAGGTAACTGACAGAAAATCAAGAGTGAAGACAGAGGGTCTCACTACATAGCTCTGGTTATTCTGCTACTCAGTATGTAGACAAGACTGGCCTCTGGCCTCAAACTCACATAGATTGACCTGCCTCTTCTTCCTGAGCTCCAGGATTGAAGGCATGAGCCACCATGTCTGCTCCTACCCCAACTTTTTAGCCATAGATGAGTTCCTCTCCCTCTGTGTGACTGGCTTCTTTTCTCAACACTGGGCATGTGCTCTGTGGCCATAGCTTTGCACCTGGGGTCTACTTCATG